TCAGTGCTGCAAGTTATTGCCCCCTATCAGTACCAGTCAGTGCTTCCTGTCAGTGCCCATTAGTGCCACTGGTCAGTGCCACCTATCAGTTCCAGTCAGTGCCGCCTAACAGTTCCAATCAGTGCCGCCTATCAGTACTGCCTATTAGTGCCACCTATCAGTGCCCATCAGTGCCGCCTATCAGTGCCATATATGAGTGCTGTCTTTCAGTGCCCATCAGTGATGCCTGTCAATGCTCACCAGTGATGCCTGTCAATGCCCATCAGTACCCATCACTGCAGCCTCATTAGCACACATAATTGAAGGAGAAAAATTACTTGTTTTTTAGCAAAAAAATAAAATACCCAGTGGTGATTAAATACCACCAAAAGAAAGCTCTATCTAAAAAATGAGAAAAATTTTTGGGTACAGTGTTGCATGACCGCATAATTGTCATGCAAAGAACGACAGCGCTGAAAGCTGAAAATTGGCCTGGGCAGGAAGGGGGTAAAAGTGCCTGGTAGGCATCTGGTTAAAGTGTTCTGTCAGAATCTGGTTCACTAGTTGGTGGCAGTGTGCTTCCATATAGATGGAGGTTGTAGTTCTGGTGTCCATTAGTAGGTGTCTCCCAACAGCCAGCAATTTTTAGTAATCAGTCTCCATCTGATGCTGGCTGTTGGGAGGGTGTTTAGTCTTTCTACTGCATGTCAGTGTTTTGCTCTTGTTTTCCTGCCAGCCAAATGCATGCTTGATCCTGAGCCTTATTCCTTCCTGACCCTGCCTTCTACCTGTACTCTGTTGCGCTTGCTCCTGATCTTGCTCTTTATCCTGTGTGTTTTACTGCCTTATATCTGCTGCCCTTGTTCATGATCTCAGTCCCATCTGTTCCCTGCATCCCCAAATTTCCTGTTTATCCATGTGACCCATTTTTGTACATATTGTATATAGTTAGTTTTGTAGTTAGGCCTTCGGTTACTTATGCACTTTGGTTATATGATTGTGGTTCACTTGTATTTTGGCTTTGGCCATCTCTGCTGCTGATTGTTGCCATGTGCTAAGAAACCATACCACAGAACCACCAGCTGATGCTGTTGACATAAGATAGGTTGGGTCCATGGATTTTTGCTGTTGACAACAAATTCTGACCCTTCATGTGTGCCTCAGGCTACATCTTTGCAATCTTCAAATGTCCAAATTTGATGAGTCTGTGCTTCTTCTGGAACCATTTTCTTCAGGCTTCTCTCATCAACAAGGCATTTCTCTCTGGAGAACTCACTCATAGTTTTTTTGTTTTTCACATTATCCTAAACAAATTCTAGAGACTATTGTGTGTGACAATTCCAAGAGATTAGCAGTTATAGAAACATTCATGCCAGCCTGCCTAAAATCACAATTTATGCCACAATCAAAATCACTAAGATCACATTTTTCCCATTCTGGTGCTTGATGTGAACATTAGCTGAAGCTTCTGGCCTGTATCTGCATGATTCAGTGCATTGTATTGCTGCCACATCCCTAATGCACAATTAGCTACAGTAATTGCATGGATAAGCAGTTGTACTGGTGTTCCTAATAACATGTTTGATGATTGTAGTTACTACACAGTGCCTACAGTGTTAAACTTACCAATGCAGTGGCCCTCCCACACTCCATGGGTTAAATGCTTGATTGGATAGGGGGGAAAGTACAAATATTTACCTTATTTCCAACTTTCCAAGCTGCCAGCACTCTCTTTCATGTGTCCAGTGTTCTGGAATATAGGCAGGCCCTTGCCATCTGCTGCTACAATGCAGGATTGCTGGTCCTGCAATGTGCATGATGATGTCAGAGAGCTGCGATTGGACAGGCTGTGAAGAAAAATGGCTTCAGGGAAGTGAATGGACTGAGAAGAGTAATCCTATGGGAGCAAGGACCAATATAATTAGTTGTACTTATTCATTTCCCCCTATCAAAATGAGAATTTACCCATGCAGAGTGGTGGAGATCCTGGTGCATGGGTAAATTTAACAGTAGCTCTAAGTGGGGTTTAAATAACATCCATGTATTGATTAATGTAAATGTTCATGTGTGCAGTTCTCATTTGTGCAGTCAGAAAGGTATGTAAGCAGTTTTTACAGCATTTTGAATCCTTTCTCATTACTACAGTGTGAAACTGGAGTCTTGTTTTATAACTAGTGTCCATGTCTTCACACATACTCAGGCCCCTTCATCCTATTTCTCACAACTCCCTGGGTTCCTTGGCATGCACATGAAAGATATGTTCCTCAGCTTCCCTCCATCAGTAGGTCAGATAGGCCATATCTGATGAGCCAAAGGTAGCTAAACAAGTGATCTTCAGCCAGATAAAAAGCCCTCAACTGTCAAAAGTGGAGTGCAGGCAGTTTTAAGAATACGCAGCTTCTCTTGAGGATACAGATAGCCTCTTTTTCAATTTCTACCAGTGTACTTGTCAGGAATGGACTAGCCAGCAATGGTGGGACTCACCTGCCTTTTGATCTGCAGTACCAGGGCTGGCCAGCGGATGCTCCCAGCAATCAGAGACTCAACTTTGCAGCCAGCTAACACCTGGAACTGATTATGCTGGGGTATTTAAGGGATGGCCAGACTTGCAGACTCTGCCTTGGTGTTGTGTTCTCTTGGGCCCTGTATCCTGTTCCTGCTCTCTGTTCCTGTCTGATTCTCTGCTGACCCTGCTCTGATCCCTGGCTTGTCTGACCATCCCCTCTGCCTGACCCTCTGTACTACGCTGCTTGCTACCTGTTCTGATCCCTGGCTTGTGACCCTGACCATCCCTCTGCCTTACCCTCTGTACTACGCTGCTTGCTACCTGCTGAACCTGGCCTGTGACCCCGACCAATCTCCGCTTGCTCCCCCTGTACCTACCTGCCCTATTGATATTGACCTGGCCTGCCTGACGACGCTTGCTTGTATGTACTGTTATCTGTGGGGTGGTTGGTTTGGTTTGGTTTGGTTGCACTGTATTATGTTTTTAGTATTGCACTGCGTTTATGTTTGTATTGTTAGTGTTAATAAATTATATTGTTTATAACATATCTGAGGTCTGCGTTTCCCTGCGTCAGCCACACACCTCTGGTCACACCTGGGAGCCCTGACATTACACCAAGGCCAATCCTGACCAGAAGTGGCTGCACAGGGAAGCCATCTTGGCTTGTTGCTGGGAAGGATGGATCTGGATGAGGTTGTGTATTTATATCTGCTAGTGTTTGATGACAGGGAGTATGCTTATCAAACTCTGAAGGAGTATACCCGGGATCAACTACTAGAATGTATACGGCTCGCTCATGTTCTAGTAGATCAGGGCACAGAGTTCTCTGAGGTGCAGCCTTTGATTGAGGTTTGTGCTGAGTTGGTTTCATCTGGTTCCCCCGAATGCAGGGATGAATTTTTGCCACCATTTAGTGCAGACCAGGTAGAGTCCCTGGTGTGGTTATTAGAGGATGATGTGGGTTACTTTCTGGAGCGTTATTCCACATGTTCACCACAGACACTAAGAGATTGTATAAACGCAGTGCAGTCATTGACCAGACAGGCTTTGTGTAAGCTCAGCTTTGTTCAACCCATACTGCAGACATGGACAGACTTGTTGCACCCAGCCTCAGTCAGCTTACAAAAACCCAGTCCTGCTTCTAACTCTACTCCTGTATTCCCACCAGCTCCTCCAGTTACAGCCCAGTATACTTGGCTATCTACCGCATGTCAGTACCCTGTTCCCACTCGCTGCACCTATCCTGCCTTTAACCCTGTAAAAAAGCCCTCTGTAGCAACTGCTCCCTCTCCTGTTCTATCCTCCAGTTTTTCTCTGTCTCCAGCTGCTCCATTCGTTTGCAGACCTGCGTTTACTTGCAGTGCTCCAGTAGTTAAAACCAGAAAAAAGCGAAAATTCTTTCCAACCAATACCATCCTGCCAGTATCCAAACCGGGTGAACCTGCCTTCCGTGACTCAGCCTGAAGCCTCTACTCAGCCTGAAGCCTCTACTCAGCCTGAAGCCTCTACTCAGCCTGATGCCTCTACTCAGCCTGATGCCTCTACTCAGCCTGAAGCCTCTACTCAGCCTGATGCCTCTACTCAGCCTGATGCCTCTACTCAGCCTGAAGCCTCTACTCAGCCTGATGCCTCTACTCAGCCTGATGCCTCTCTTCAGCCTGATGCCTCTCTTCAGCCTGATGCCTCTCTCAGCCTGAAGCCTCTACTCAGCCTGAAGCCTCTACTCAGCCTGAAGCCTCTACTCAGCCTGATGCCTCTACTCAGCCTGATGCCTCTACTCAGCCTGAAGCCTCTACTCAGCCTGAAGCCTCTACTCAGCCTGATGCCTCTCTTCAGCCTGATGCCTCTCTTCAGCCTGATGCCTCTCTTCAGCCTGATGCCTCTCTTCAGCCTGAAGCCTCTACTCAGCCTGAAGCCTCTACTCAGCCTGAAGCCTCTACTCAGCCTGAAGCCTCTACTCAGCTGATGCCTGCATTCAGCCTGATGCGCTACTCAGCATGATGAACTGATCCAGCCCGACGATCCTATTAGGCCAGTTGACTCGATGCCGCTGTTGATCCAGATGATCCGGTACCTGATCCAGTGCCCGCTGTCGTGCCAATTGACTCAGAGCCCGCTGTCATACCTGGTGACCCGGTGCCCACTGCCTTGCCAGATGACGCGGTGCCCGCTGGCAAGCCAAATGACCTGATGCCTGGTGACCCAGTGCCCGCTGTCATACTTGGTGACCCGATGCCCGCTGTCGAGCCAGACAATCCGATACCTGATGACCCGGTGCCCACTGTCGTGCCTGTTGACTCGGAGCCCACTGTCTTGCCAAACGACTCGGTGTCCGCTGTTCCACCAGTTGACTCGGTGCCCGCAGTCTTGCCAGACGACTCGGTGCCCGCAGTCTTGCCAGACGACTCGGTGCCCGCAGTCTTGCCAGACGACTCGGTGCCCGCTGTTCCGCCAGTTGACTCGGTGCCCGCAGTCTTGCCAGACGACTCGGTGCCCGCAGTCTTGCCAGACGACTCGGTGCCCGCAGTCTTGCCAGACGACTCGGTGCCCGCAGTCTTGCCAGACGACTCGGTGCCCGCAGTTCCGCCAGTTGACTCGATGCCCGCAGTCTTGCCAGACGACTCGGTGCCCGCAGTTCCGCCAGTTGACTCGATGCCCGCAGTCTTGCCAGACGACTCGATGCCCGCAGTCTTGCCAGACGACTCGGTGCCCGCAGTTCTGCCAGTTGACTCGATGCCCGCTGTTCCGCCAGTTGACTCGGTGCCCGCAGTCTTGCCAGACGACTCGGTGCCCACTGTCGTGCCTGGTGACTCGGTGCCCGCCGCTTCGCCTGGGGGCCCGAGACCTGTTGCTCCGCCTGAGGGCTTGAGACCTGTCGCTCCATCTGGGGGTCCGGCGCCCGCCGCTCCGCCTGAGGGCCCGAGACCTGTCGCTCCATCTGGGGGTCCGGCGCCCGCCGCTCCGCCTGAGGGCCCGAGACCTGTCGCTCCATCTGGGGTCCGGCGCCCGCCGCTCCGCATGAGGGCCCGAGACCTGTCGCTCCGCCTGGGGGCCCGAGACCTGTCGCTCCACCTGGGGGTCCGGCGCCCGCCGCTCCGCCTGAGGGCCCGAGACCTGTCGCTCCACCTGGGGGTCCGGCGCCCGCCGCTCCGCCTGAGGGCCCGAGACCTGTCGCTCCACCTGGGGGTCCGGCGCCCCCCGCCCCGCCTGAGGGCCCGAGACCTGTCGCTCCATCTGGGGGTCTGGCGCCCGCCGCTCCGCCTGGGGGCCCGAGACCTGTCGCTCCATCTGGGGGCCCGGCGCCTGCCGCTCCGCCTGAGGGCCCGATGCCTGTCGCCCCGCCTGGGGGCCCGATGCCTGTCGCCCCGCCTGGGCCCGATGCCGATCGCCCCTCCCGGGGCCCGGCGCCTGCCCCGCCCGGGGGCCCGGTGCCTGTCGCCCCGCCCGGGGGCCCGGTGCCTGTCGCCCCGCCCGGGGGCCCGGTGCCTGTCGCCCCGCCCCGGGGGCCCGGTGCCTGCCGCTCCGCCCGGGGGCCCGCTGCCTGCCGATCCGCCCGGGGGCCCGGTGCCTGCCGCCCCGCCTGGGGGCCCGCTGCCTGCCGCCCCGCCCGTGGGCCGCTGCCTGCCGCTTCGCCTGGTAATCCGATGTGCCTCTGCCCGGAGTCCTGCCCGATGTGCCTCTGCCCGGAGTCCTGCCCGATGTGCCTCTGCCCGGAGTCCTGCCCGATGTGCCTCTGCCCGGAGTCCAGCCCGATGTGCCTCTGCCCGGAGTCCAGCCCGATGTGCCTCTGCCCGGAGTCCAGCCCGATGTGCCTCTGCCCGGAGTCCAGCCCGATGTGCCTCTGCCCGGTGTGCCTCTGCCCAATGTGCCTCTGCCCGGTGTGCCCCTGCCCGGTGTGCCGCTGCCCACAGTCCTGCCCGGTGTGCCAGTCTTTTGATATCCCGCCAGTTACCAGACCCGGGCGGTGGAACATTTTGCCCAGCTAGGACTGTTTGGAGCGTCCTGAGGCCGCTCCTTGAGGGGGGGTACTGTCAGGAATGGACTAGCCAGCAATGGTGGGACTCACCTGCCTTTTGATCTGCAGTACCAGGGCTGGCCAGCGGATGCTCCCAGCAATCAGAGACTCAACTTTGCAGCCAGCTAACACCTGGAACTGATTATGCTGGGGTATTTAAGGGATGGCCAGACTTGCAGACTCTGCCTTGGTGTTGTGTTCTCTTGGGCCCTGTATCCTGTTCCTGCTCTCTGTTCCTGTCTGATTCTCTGCTGACCCTGCTCTGATCCCTGGCTTGTCTGACCATCCCTCTGCCTGACCCTCTGTACTACGCTGCTTGCTACCTGTTCTGATCCCTGGCTTGTGACCCTGACCATCCCTCTGCCTTACCCTCTGTACTACGCTGCTTGCTACCTGCTGAACCTGGCCTGTGACCCCGACCAATCTCCGCTTGCTCCCCCTGTACCTACCTGCCCTATTGATATTGACCTGGCCTGCCTGACGACGCTTGCTTGTATGTACTGTTATCTGTGGGTGGTTGGTTTGGTTTGGTTGCACTGTATTATGTTTTAGTATTGCACTGCGTTTATGTTTGTATTGTTAGTGTTAATAAATTATATTGTTTATAAACATATCTGATGTCTGCGTTTTCCTGCGTCAGCCACACACCTCTGGTCACACCTGGGAGCCCTGACAGTACTCTTGTTCCAGCGGGGTGGCCTTTTTCCTTGGATCCCTCCAGCTGTTCCCCTGTGTTACCAGAACTACACTGAATTTAACTGTGAGGGATGCTGTTTATTGTTTTATGTAAATATTGATTCTCAGTTAGACTCCCTGTTATTTTAGAATGTTATAGAGAATATGCTATGCAGCCAGAAGCTACTCTGACTGAGCCACAAAGTCATTGCTGTGAAGAGTCAATGTTTATGCAGCTATTACAATCTGTTTTGTATTATTCTGCATTTTCTTTGCCATCCTCAACCTGTTTTGCATTATCTCTTATAACTTGGTACCTGTTTATTAAATTGCAAGTTACAGGTTCTCCCTGTCTGATCATTTAGCTGATTACCTATTCTTTTAAAGGACATTGGCTGCTGGATGGAGAAGGAGTTCTGCAGAATCAGTTAGAGCAACAGAGGGTCTATTCTTTGGAGCACAGAGATAGGACAGCCATATAAGAAGGAAAGAGAACTTCAATGGTGGGAAACATGTACTTGGACTGAGGTCCTCCATAGGTAGCACAAGACGGAGCAAATTAAAATTTAAGAGACTGTATTGTGAAGCTGCTACATCACAATGAGTGCACCAACTAATGACATCCTATCACTTCCTCATATTTTTGCTTCTCCCCAATTTTTGGATTAAGATATTATTTATTTGCAATACCAATTTCAACTCACAGTAAAGTTTTTTAAGGAATGAGAAGTGTCCTAATTCCTTATCTCCGAAAGTACTATAAAAGAACTTGCAAGGGGATGAAGTGAGTGCTGTCCAGAGAATTGCAGTTGGGCCAAATGGTCAACCAACATGACAAGGTGACTACCCAGAAAAAGGTTAGAGGAAATACCTTTTTGTGTTTCACAATATACTAAGTTCAGGTGCACTACAGTGGCAGATGTGTTTATAATAATCATCCATTTATAATAATGTTTTCCAGGCCAAACTTTCAAGCAAAAGCATCCTATATTCCAAAGGGACACCTTATAACAAGTAGAAAACTGTATAATTATGCCTGAAAAAATGTTACTTCTGTTAAAAACAAATTAGACAATATGACCTAAATATATTCAGGTTTTTGCCATCAAACCTCACTGATTTTGATGAGATCTAGTGTCAACCATGTAGTCAATGAGTATCAGCAGACCCTGCTCCCCAGCTAGTAATTCTTCATAGTAAAATCAATTAGCCAGGTTGGATACTTTTAGTCAATTGTTATAATTTCCTTAACATAAAACCAGCTTCTGCAACAACCTGTCCACTCTCTGCAAACTGGATACATGTTTGGGCAATGCATTCAGCATTCACGATTCTTCAATGGTTAGTATGTGGTAGCACATCATACTGTGATCCTTTATATTATAACCTGCTTAAAGGAGAACTACAGCCAAAAAGGGCAAGGTAAAAAATAAATAGCCCTTTAAAAAAAAGTCTTTTACTGCAGTATTTAGCTTTAATACAGATTTCCCCACAGTCATTTTTTTTCTTCACTAGATGTCCTAAGTATCAGGGAAATCCTATGCGTTGCCATGTGTGAAGATATACCAATGCGCATAATACTTCTTGAGTGACAACTAGATGTCCTCTAATTCTCACAAGTGCACATGTGCATTAGCATGAGAAGGTGTGAACACTTGGTGCCCACTTGCCTATTTAAAGTGGGTTCAGAGACCGGAGGATTGCTGAGTGGTCATCAGCTTCTACCACCTGTTACCTGATCCTGTGCTTGCTTCTGTGTTTACCCAGCCTATTTTGACTCTGCTTGTTCCTGTTACCCCATTGCTGAATCCAGCTAGTGATCTGACTCTGCCTTCTGCCTGCTGTTTTGGTACCTTCTCTGCTTGCCTGATACCGACCCCTGCCCAGCTCTGATTCTGCTTTCGTTGCTGATTCGGCACCTCTGCTGCCTGGCTGATACTAACTGTTGCCTGCCGAACCACCTGAGATCCTGCATCCACCTGCTTACCAGCTTGCTTGCTGCCTACTGTTCTGCACCTGCTACAAGTGCCTCCACATCTGTCAGAGTATCCTGCATCTTTCTACTTACTAGCCTGCTTGCTGCCCACTGTTCTGCACCCACTACTGTATCTTCGAATAGGCCAGCTCACCAGTCTGTCTGCTGTTTGGCACCTGCTTCAAGAATCTTCCAGCCAGGATCTCCTACAGGGAACCTGTGCCACTCACTGCCCTGTTATATCACCTTCAGGAGAAACAGGAGAGGAGGCATAAGGGAAAGTCCTTTCATCAGCTCAGCCTCGACCAGGTACATAACACTCAGTCTTATGTTCCTCAATTTACTCCCACTGAACCCAGATTGTCTTGGCTCCACTTTAGCCTATTACTGGATGATAAAAAGAGAAGCAGAAGAGTGATTAGATCATGTCATCAGGGTCAGCATGTCACTCTAATTTTCCCCTCCTATCAGCAAGAGGCTGGAACCAGGGTAAATTTAGACACTTACACTTGTATTTAAAAAATACATAATAATGTATTTATATAGTAATGGATCAATTATTACAAATGGCATTCATTTGTGTCTTTTATGTCTTACAGTTTAACTTTAAAGAATACACTTCATGAGAACCCTATATGCCAACCAAGGCAAAATCAAATAAGCAAATCTATTTACATATAGATTTTGCCAATTTATAAAGTATTTACACCTGATTTTTCAGAGAATGTTCACCACCTGGTGTAACTCATTTTAGAAAAAATAAGAAGGAAAAAACCCCAAGGTGGTATCATTTATTGTTTTCAGGCTTTTATAGTTTTCACCATATTTTTACACCTACTATAACTTTAACATCTCAAAAATTATATAACATTACCTGGGAAATAGGACAAAATGTGGCAAGATAAAAAGCAATATTTTCACTGATTTTAGTAAACAGACAATCTATTACCTAACTCTCTACTCTTGTAGTTCAGCTCTCCCCTCAATGTATATGATCTGAACACAACTTTAAGTGCAAAATAAAATGCATTGTATAGTTTAAATTCCAGTTTGTCAAAATATATCTTACTGCCAAAACAAAGAATATATGCTAATGCAGTGCTTTAAAGACTGAACATAACAATGGCTCTTGCAAAGGAAACATTTGTTTAATAGAACAGGGTCACTGACATCTTCAGCCTGATTAGCAAAAGGGTTCTAAAAACCTTTCACTGAGATGCCATAACCAGACCCCTTTTCTGTAGGTCATTCTATATATATCTTGGGTTTTAGATCTCGTTAAACTGGGTCTATGCTAGCCAAAAGCTTGACTTTGTCACACTTAACCTTTTTCCAAGAAAGTCACAGGAATGCATAGTTCCACAGGTTTAAACAGCGTTTTATTACACTGGAATATACATTATGGAGCAATGTATTTATATAGGACAAACACACATTTTCTTATGTCTATCAATCAATTTAAATTAGTTAGAAAATAGATACAAAAAGAGAATATATGTTTACATA